CCTTCCTCTCCATCCACGGACTCTTTCTTCAGGTCGTAAGTTTTTCAGCTCACCAGCACCTTCGATCTGAAACGAAGTGCAGGGAAATTGGTAAATTCGCACTGACAAATCCAACTTCGAAGTCGAAGAAAATCTTTCATTGGATTTCTTCGGAAAGCATGTTTCGTGAAATGTAGAAAAAGTCATTAGCACTAACCTTAGGATCATCATCTGAAACGTTCGACCGCCTGTCGTCCATATCGTCTTCATTTTCGCCCAGGGATGAGAAGGTATTCACAACCATTTTCGCGAATTTACCTTCAAACAACATTTGTTTACTTCATGTTTTTTTTGTTCACTTAACTATTTATTATTGTTGCAATAGATACCACCCGAAGTAAATGCCACTTCAAGTGTTAAAAGGGCCGCATTATGGGCATCATTTCAAACTGCCCCTGACATCCCGTTTCGGACGTATCGAACAACAAATAAATAAGAAAACATCACCCACCTATTCTTTGATCCAAATCGATAACCATACCACGCATCTGCGACCTTACACTGAGCACCCATTTGGCACCCATCTGATCGGATGACGCCTTAAAACTCACCACAGTATTGCATCTTGTAAATTAGACATTCTTTGTATGAACCCGTCAAACAATTTTAGAACTTTTATTACCGATTTGCTTTTTGTCTGTTATTCATTGCTATATCTAAAAGTTAGAAATTCAACCTGCAGTATATTTCACAATGACCGGATGGGCGGGGTCAGTAACATCATCGCTATCCGATATTTGGGCGCCCTTCCAATTTCTAGCGATTTCTTTACCATACCTGCGAGCACAGCTGATACGTTCCTTGAGGGAAGAATAAGTAGTTTGTCTGAGTGTTACCAGTTGCCTCTTGCACACTTTCCGAGAGCGACTAAAATATACATTATTCATTACATTATTCACTAAACATCAAAGTTAGAAAACCTCCAAGCTAACATACAAGTTCATCGAAATTGTCGATGAAGTTCAATTTGAATCCGTGGAAAGATGCTTGACAAGCCAGTTCCTTCATTATGCAGACGGTCACGTCACTCTTCTAAAAGATATCAGAAAAAACTTGCTGAAAACCCTAAAACTCTGACTTGAACACTATACAGCTTTTGTTGAGCTCAAACTCAACAAAAGTTCACTCAAACTTTCCATAATAGGTATGTCTCTTCTAGACCTATTAAGGCCAAGAGCAACGGATTTTACTTGGTCGGACAGAACCAAGCACAACCCGTCATAAGTCCTGTTTCATTATGGATTTCTACAGATAATTTAGACCTATTGTGTGGGAAGAGTCGGGCTTGTCCGTGGGTATCCCTCATGGATGCAACTCTCCTTTGTACAGTGATGGTCCCTGCAAACGATAGGGCGTGTGACGCGCCGCGGCATGGAGCGCAGCCAGGACAGCCTTGTTCCGACAATGATGTCATTCTGAGCCTCCTACCTTGGTGAGTCTGCTCTAGCTGCCTTCCAAGCTACGCCCCCATCGCATGCACTATCGTCTGCATGGATCATGACTGAAATCGGGACACAGCAACCACCCCGAAAAAAAGAGGGGAGTCGTTATTCAGATGCTGAGGAAGGGAGTCGTGAGTAAGCACGAGAAAATTTTTTGACAGTCGATTTCTCGCGTTTCAAGTACTCCATTCTCGAGAATGACAATGGAGAGGAGGAAGGCGTTCTCTCTTGGCGTTTATAAACGAAACATTGCGTCACTCCCTCTACTGTGGTAAAACCCCTAATTGGGGATATAGATTGTAGTAGTTGTTTGAAGGGCACCCTTTCCCACTAACCGATGGTATTTCGAAAAAAAAAAAACGCTGTGAAGGGCACCGTGGAGGTGGTGCACACAAGGAGGGTATCCGAGGTGGTCGTATCTTTGCAGATTTTGCACAAAGCGATACTGTGCCCTGCTTGTCAAATATATTGAAGAGGACAGAGACCCTTTTAAGGACTGAATGCTAGGTCTGACTTCATATATGACCAACGCAGACTGCACGTTTGATGGCGTCGCACTGCCAAGCGCATTGTTTCCTCGATAAAAAAATCAATGGGAATATCACATGTGTAACCTACCTGCAGGGATAAAACTAGTGCTGGCATGCCATCTGTGAGATCCTGACTGTACAATGGCATACACACATACATTCCATTATTGAATCGCCAGAGAAAGATTGACATCGAAGTCCTGAAAAACGTTCTTCATAAAGTCTTGTTCGCTGCGGATGCTGGAACATGTCATTGGTGAAGGAGCTGATTTTGGCGCGTAGCCAGCCTGTTTTTCACTGATCATTTTCGCTTCAACAACCGGAGGAAAACTAGAGGCGCTGCGCCAGACCTAGCCTCCCTGACACGCCCCAGCATCAGCAGCGATCAAGTCTGTACCAGGACTGCGTTCCGTGACTCTGTTGGAAAAGATGAAGAAAATATTGAAAAAAAAGAACTGGTTGCTTGGACCCACAATCAAGAGGACCACATCATGAGACGGTCCAATAACGAGTGATGATTGAAACGGCCAAGCAATGCTGTACCGGCAGTAAAAATGAAGACC